TTAGGGCTTAGGGTTTAGGGTTTAGGGCTTTGGGTTAGGGCTTAGGGTTTAGGGTTTAGGGTTTAGGGCTTTGGGTTTAGGGTTTAGGGCTTAGGGTTCAGGGTTTAAGGTTTAGGGCTTAGGGTTTAGGGTTGATGTCCTGATTGTCAGGTTCGCTGCCACTTCGACGAGGTGTTTGCCGTTATCGATGCTGCGAAGAGATTCAAGAAGGGGCGGGCGCTCATTCATTGCCACGTGCCTGAGCTCATTCCATACACACTCTTGCGTCGAGGAGAGGCTATAAGCCCTAAACCCCTAAACCCTAAACCCTAAACCCTGAAACCCTAAACCCTAAAGCCCTCAACCCCTAAACCCCATATAAACCCTAAAAGCTTAAATCCGTATCCTAAACCCCTGAGCCCCCCCTAAACCCTAAAACCTAGAAGCCTGACTCCTAAACCAGTGAACCGCCTACACCCTAGACCCAATAAGCGTAAACGCCTAAAATCCTAAATCCTGAATCCCTGAACCCCTGAACCCCTGAACCCCTGAACCCTAAACCCTGAACCCTAAACCCTCAAAAAAGGCCTAAAGGCCTAAATCCTAAACCCCTGAAGCCCCCTAAACCCTAAACCCTAAACCCTAAACCCTAAAAAGCCCTTAAGCCTAAGCCCTAAAAAGGCCTCAAAGCCTAAACCCCTGAACCCCTGAACCCCGGAACCCCCAAATTTTCGAGGGATTATGGGCTTTAGGGGTGCTGGCGAAACCCCAGAGCCCGAGATCCTGCCTGTCACCGAGTGTCCTGGGGTTGAGGGTTGAGGGTTTAGGGGTTTAGGGTTTAGGGTTCAAGGTTCAAGATTTAGGCTTTAGGGGTTTAGGGTTTAGGGCCTCAAGCTCCCTGTCACCGAAGGCCCGACGAGGGTTTAGGGCTTAGGGTTGGTTGAGGGGTCTAGGGGTTTAGGGTTGAGGGGTTTAGGGGCTTAGGGTTGAGGGTTTAGGGCTGAGGGTTTAGAGTTTAGGGGTTTAGGGGTTTAGGGGTTTAGGGGTTTAGGGGTTTGGGGTTGAGGGTTTAGGGTTGAAGTTTTCAGGTTGGGGGTTCTGGAAGATCGCCGATGTTGCATGCACCCTAAGGGTCCAGCTACCAAACACTCTCGCATCACTAACCTACATAATTACTATCCGAAAACTAACTACATATGTATCGGGTCCTGTGGACTCTTAGGATAAAGGTAGCAACAACATCAGATATTCATACCATCACTTGCAGCTGCAGCACAGGTTGACATCTGAGGACTGCAGAAGACTTGGATATAAAGTTTTAGCCTCAACCGCCTCAACCGCTTAAACATGCTTGCGCCTCAACTGCAAGATAGTGCAAGTCCATCCGAGGCTATGAAGGCAAGAACAGGCGCAGTCTGCATTTTCGCATGGGGACATATTATGGGAGTTGGGTTGATCGTGAGCCTGCGAGGCTGACAGGCGTAGGATTCGACTTGGTGCTGAACGGCTCCTACTTCCTGTGCAAATTTCGGCACTGGGTTGAGGGTGTAGGGCTTTTGTGGATGCCGGCCTTTGTCTCTTTTGCACCATTTGTGGATGGAGGTACATCGATTTGTGTTCCAGGGCTTGGCAAGAAGGCCTCTGGCCGAGTTCGCTAGCATTATCGGGCTTGAAGCAGTTTCCTTACACCCCAAAGCCCTAGAAATCCCCAATTCAGAACCTGAGTCCCTAAACTCTTGTTCCCTAAACCCTAAACCGTAAACTCTTGTTCCCTAAACCCCTGCATCCCCCCAATCAAACGACGCTGCTTTCAGGCTTGCCCGCGTTTCCCAAGTCCTAGGTCTCAAACTGCAAACCCGATTGGCCCCACACTTTACATCTGGGTTCTTGTTACAGTTTTATAGGGTTTAGGGTTTGGGGTTTAGTTGTTGTTGCAAGAAAACCCAAAAAGAAGTAAACATGGTCATGTTTATTTTAGCCCCAACAGGGAACCAGACAGGCAAAACCCGAAACCCTAAACTCAAAACCCTAAACCCTAAATCCTGAACCCTAAACCGGTTCAGGAGCGCTGTGTTCGTGATCGCATATTGCATGAGGGAGGCTCGCCTTGCCTTTCAGGGTTTAGGGCAGTTTAGGGTTTCGGGTTTAGTTTTTTAGGGGTTTAGGGTTGAGGGTTTAGGGTTTGGGGGTTTAGGGTTTAGGGGTTTGTGGTTTAGGGACAAAGAGCAACGAACAACAGATGCAATTATATGTCCTGATGACCGGACCGGCTTGAGCAGCTGGAGCAAGAGTAGAAAGCTGTAGGAGGCTTCATCTTGGGTTCTCTTCGACTCTTCGCATAGAGGTTCAGATCGCCACGAGCACTCGCCTACCATATTCATGTGAATTTCCGAACAGAAAACTATGAAAGTTGTTGTCGTTGCTGTTCAGATTCCGATCCTGATCATGATCGGCATTTGTCTGCCCAAGGTTTTTTGATAAAATCCCGAACCCGTAATTCCGGAACCTATTTCAACATATGAAGCCCAAACTGCCGTAAACCCTGAGTGCTACACTATGCCTGTTTCCTCTTGAGGCTGTTGAAGCACCCCCGGCCATGCCTTTCGACAGAGCCCCTCCAGCCCAGATAGGAGCAGTATGCATATCGATGAAGTGATGTATAGTACAACAATCAAGCTGGAACATACTTATCACCCCGCCCTCCCCGCTGCACCCAACTTTGAATACAGGGAAGGCAGGCATAATGCATCATTGTGCATGTTCCAACTCTCCTGGCCTTTGCCACAGTAACACCGACCGAGATGGTTTCAGTTTGCAGCACGGGGCAACGGCAGATGTTTGGCTTCAGGGGTGAAGGGTTTACCTATCTAATGTAGGGGCCTAAATACATACTAATATACTATTTTGGGCGTTCCTTATTATTATCATTATTATACCGTAAACAACCCCAAAGCCATATTCAAATTATCAAGGCCCCTATATTAGTTCAGCTAGGTGCGTCCACACTGATGCCACACTCCTAAACCTGTAAACACTAAGCCCTA